CATGCTACCAAGCATGTTTAAAACACAATCTCTTATATAGGATAGAGAATAAATTTTCATACTATACAGAATAATCTAGAAAATGGGAATACTTTAAGTAGCGATGCTACTGAAAGGATGTCACTGTCAGAAAGAAATCGTATTTCAATCAGTCAGGTTGTGTCAACTCGTGTCCCACGCCCTGCGATGACACCAACGTCTTGTCAAAGCAGAGCATATCGCTGTCTTTGTGTTTATTTGTTTGTTGTTTAACATCGTACTCAGCAATATTCCAGCTATATGACGGCGGTCTGTACATAATCCAGTCTGGTCCAGACAATCCAGTGATTGACATCATGCGCATCGAGCTATACGTAATTGGGATATGCAATGACATGGATCAACCAAGTCAGCGAGCCTGACCGATCCCGTTAGTCGCCTCTTATGACAAGCATGGGCTGCTAAAGGCCAACTCATGATCTCCAGGGGTTCCATGTCCTTGTGACCCTCCTTGCAATGTAGGATGCTACGACTTTACACATGCTAATACCATTCAAATGATTCATCATAGTGAATAAAAGTAAAATCATGACTATTTCATATCGCACTTTTTCCCTCTCAGGGTTTTATTTGAATATGACCGGAAACCTTCTGAATATAAGGCTACCCTTTCTGGTGTTGTGCATAATATTGCCCAAAACCATACTGACGTTACACTGACTACTCACTATGTCGTTGTTGTAGTAGTAGTAGTAGTAGTAGTAGCAGTATTAGTAGTTGTAGCTGTATTAGCCGTAGTTCTAGACATCAACTAGTGGCGAGGTTAGTAGTAGTAGCAGTAGTAGTAGTAGTAGTAGTAGTAGTAATAGTAGTATGTTGCCGTGGTCGCTACAGTTTAATTATTGTAGAAGTACCATATGACACAAGCACATTAGAGGTCTAACCCAGACGTCTATATGACAACTTGACACTAACTAATTTGAGTAACATAACCACTGACATCGCTCACAAGATAGCCCCTCGGTTTTGATCCCTTTTTAAAAAAACGTTCAGTGGATTAATTACGAAAGGATACCCACTGAGATTAAGTGAAAATAATTTGGGCCAACATGTCGACGTCCTGCGAATACTCTCCACACGAGGGGGTTCTGTCTTTGCCGGCCAAATGAGGACGGCGCCTGTTTGTTCAAGCTGTAAATTGACACCAGTCTTAGTTGTTATATAAACATATATGAGTTAGCATTTTCACGTGTGAGAAAGCGTATTGCGCAAGTGGACTTTGCTTCCGTGCACGGAGTCTCAGTCAGGTGTTTAGAGTGTTGTTAGTGCGAGAATACCTTACACGAATTCTCTCGGGGCGCGGCTGTTTGACTACCAGTCTCAATTATTATTATTTGGGTCGTTGTGTTGACCGTTTGAACGGGAATAGCAGACCAAAGTGGCTGCTAATATGTACTTGATTTTCACAAACCCCATCCAGCTTGTGTCACCTTTGAAACAAGTAAACTCCCGGGCAAAGAAAGTATACACTTAAAAGTTGGATTTGACCCAAAAATATTAAAGGTTACAAGAGTGAAAACAGTCGCTGAAACAATGCAAACTTAAGGTCCAAAACACAGCTATGATAGCATCTGTTAACCATTTCATAACTACATCACATGGGTCATGCCCGGCCAGTATTATGTAAGTATAACTTTACACAAAGAAAAATATACTCTTTCTGGACTCCGTGGTTTCAGAATGAGATGAATGACTCCAGTACCGAACAACATACACAAGAGTGTACTGGTATACGCACAAACATTTCCTAAAAAACAAGGCGCCCAAAATGTAACTGCACGTGCATGACGCGTATTATACAGCGTTCTCTGACTTGATACACTGTTCCCGAAGTAATAATCACGAGTAGAAAACACGATGTTATTTGAAAGTTACACATTTGTCATGGAAGTCTCAGAAAGATGGTCAACTACATTGTTTAGTCGGACATAGTTGGAAGGCCATAGGAACGTGGTCAGTTTGAAATCTTTAAAAACAATTATATGTCGAAAGACTTATCACAAGATGTACAATGTCTAACACAGTTGTTAGGCTATGAAATGCCCATCTAACTAGAATGTCGATCGGTCATCTGGCAGGATATGCAAGCAACACAGAATCGGCTAACATCGAAGGTAAAGCAGTAAGTCCACCAGGGAGCTAAGCCAGGGGCAATGGGGGAACCAGAACGTTGATCTCCGATCACGATTACTCCCAGCCTACAAAATATAAATTAGCCGCCAAACTGGAGGGTGATTAATGGAACTTCTATAAAACAATGACACCGGGGTATTTGGTGCTGATAACATTTTGATAATTAACCGATATCCTTGTTAAGTATCAATGGAAAATCTGAAGTTTATCAAGGTAATAACTTACCCTTGCCATCTGTAAATGCCAAACCTACTACTTATGCACTATTGAGGTCGAAATGTGCACTCATCCCTCACCAAAGTTACTGCCAAATCAGAAGTTATGCTATATTGCCGGTGGCAGAATATTTAACAGCTGACCACTTGATAAGAGATGTGAGTTTGTTGTTTTACGCCGCACTCAGCAGTATTCCAGCTATATGACGGCGGTCTGTAAATAATCGAGTCTGGACAAGACAATCCAGTGATTGATATCGAAGAATTACGAAGAACAGGTCAGTAGCCATGTTAGAATGGTGGACCAATCGCTAAGATAAACTCCATATGTCAGAACTAAGGGCCTTTCGGTAACTATATAAGCATGTGGACATGTTGCCATATTTAATTCACTGCAGATTGATGCACACGGCCTGTTATTAATACGGTACGTATGAATATTCGTCAACCGTACGAAGGTGGTGATGTATGAATATGCATGGATCTAAATACTTTTGTGCGATATCAACATGATACCCTATAACACTATACACGTTGCTGAAGATTGATGTACAGTATCACAACTCATCTGTATCACGACTTTTCTATTAGTATTGAGTAATTGTTGAATCGATGGATTCTCCTTGACCATAATCTATGTAGTAATGTTGTGATACTTATCTTGACATGTGATGGAAGTAGTTTAATGATTAACCATGTCAATTGAGTAGTAGAATAGAAAATTTGTGATGACATTTTTTTGTTGAGGAAAGGGCGAATGCAACACTTTTTGTCATGGGAGTCTCCAAACTATGGCCAACTACATTGTTTAGTCGTCGGACATAGTTGGAGGGCCATAGAAACATGGTCAGTTACAAATCTTAAAAAACAGTTACACCTGAAACAACCTATCATGACATGTAAACCCCGAACTGTGTCCGTTAAGTAGACTTCTTCACACCGAGGAATGTCCAGATAAATAGAATGGCGGTCGGTCATCTTCTAGGAATCTTAAAACAAGTTACACATCCTACAACTTATCATGACTTGTACATCCCCGGGCACCCCCGAGCAGCCCCGAACACCCCCGAGCTATGTCCATCTAACAGAGTTGTTTACCCAATTAGAAATATCCAGCTCATTAGAATGGGTCGGTCATCTGCCTTTAAAAGCTGACAGGATATTCACGCAAGCCAGGGACAAGGATGGACGAACACTGACCAGCCAGTCCAGACCATCAGCAGCTCAAGTGTTACTTCGCCCCCTTCCTCCGTCTGTATGATTGATAGCCTGGTTGTACCCATTCTTTGTCACGACCTCGACTTTTTATTTCATTACGTCTGATTCTGTCAACATTATGGTCTTTCTCTCTCGCTACATTTGAAACGGACCCGTGGGGGTATTGCCATACAATCCCGACCGTCTGTAAGACATTCCTAGAATGTTTTTAGTTCAGTTTTCAAACGTTTAATCTGAAATGTTGTTAAAATAGTTTTCAAAGCAACGTCTGGATGGGAAGTGGTCATTTTAAAACTAGTGCCCTAAAGTTCGAGAAAACTGCTTTCTGATTGGCTAATGTCCATTTCTTGTTACTCATTTTATTGGTCTTTCAAATTCCCGAAAGGTCGTTCTGGCGTGACCCTTAATGGGATGTCCTCAGATATACGTTTAGCGATAGGGAGAACTAAGATCTGGTTTTAATGAGATTGATATAGATAACTGTGAAGTCTTAATAAAACACCATCTATGACCTTTGGGATTTAGCGTTTTAATTTTCAGTCAAAAGAAATGACAAACAGATGCAATATATACCTGACTGAGGTTTTGCTTTTAGAACACACTTAGGCCCCTGTGTGTACATCGGAACACGTCCCTGTGAATATCCGGGTTAGAATATATAAGGTCTTCAGCAACCAATGCTTGCCTTTAAAGGAGATTCTGCTTGTCGTCAGAGGCGACTAACGGGATCGGATGGTCAGGCTCGCTGACTTGGTTCACGCATGTCATTGTATCCCAATTGCGTGGATCGATGCTCGTGATATCAATCACTGGATTGTCTTGTCCAGACTCGATTATTTACATACCGCCGTCGTATTGCTGAGTGCGGCGTAAACAACAAATAAACAAACAAAACAAACATCGGAACACGAATAAATGGATGTGTGTGTATCGAAAAGAATAACCATAGTGTCTCAAGGGGACCACCATTTCCAAAAGACATATTAATGACGTCACTCGCAATCAATCACACGCACTATGCATGACAATATATTGAACATATATCACTGTGAAACGACAGTCTTAACGCTTGGGGCATTTCCTGAATTCGGGCGTCTATTAATTTCGCGCAAACCGATGACCTGGCGTGTATTTAGGGCCCCCTTGTATATTCTGTGTATTGCTGTACAGTGGCAACTCACTATCTTACCAAATCCCAAATACTAAAGTCTTTTGCGTACATTTGCAGGAAACGGTCATTAATAATCATCATATCACAGTATTCAACACCGGGCGTTAAATAGAGGATTAGAGGCCGGTGTGTGTTGGCGTCAATTAGGGGAAATAAGGTATGCATTGGTGTGGATGGCGCAATAGTTGTCAACGTAGGCTGACCTGCTTCAATCAGTTCAGTGGGTATATGTGGTTATATTTACCCCAATGTGCAGTAGACTCACATCAAGACACAACCGCGATGGGGCAAGTACCCGCCCTGCTGGCTCTGCTGTTGACGGCCACACCCTGTAAGTGTTATCAGTGTGATGTGTTTAATTGTATTGACAGCTGTTTCTTAATTCCAGAGTATGTATAATCATGTTAAAGCACCTGTAACATACGATTGTGGCAAGAAACTTTTTTACTGAGTATTTTGATATTTCATGTGGGGTAAGACAAGGTTGTACTCTCAGTCCAGAGCTGTTTTCTTTGTTTATCAACGAATTAGTTATATGTTTGGAAAGAAACTTCCAGGATGGTGTTTTTATCTCGGAGGAAATGTTAAATATAATTGCCCTGTTGTTTGCCGACGATGTAGTACTTGTTGCAGACAGTGTATTAAAATTACAAAAACGCCTTGATGAATTACCTGATAAATGGGGTATGGATATTAATACTGAGAAGAGTAAAATTATTGAGTTTAAAATGGGAGGACCCTTGACAAAAAATGAGAAATGGTATTATAACGGTGAACGTATGAATACGGTTAATGCCTATAAATATTTGGAACTTGTTTTCACTCCCAAAGTAATTTTGACTAAGGTCTGTAAAATTTATGTGAGCATGCAAGCAAAGCACTTTGGTCAGTTAAAGCGTTAATAAGACGTTATGACATTTCGGTTACTGAAGCATTCTTTATATTTGATAACAAAAATTGTTCCGATATTAATGTATGGTGCTGAGATTTGGGGATACCAAAAATGGAATTCGATTGAATTGGTTCACCACCAATTTTGTAAATTCTTACTTCACACGGGCTACAGAACTGCAAACGCAGTAGCCTAGTGAATGTGGTAGGTTTCAACTTCATACTATTTATTATGTAAAATCCATTAAATATTGGTTTAAGATTTTGCAAATGAGTCCAAACAGATACCCATACCAGTGTTATAAAATGTTATTATCCATTGCTGACAGAAAACGTCCTAACTGGGCATCGCATATCAGACTTTTGCTAAGTCATTATGGTTTTGGGGATGTATGGGCTGCACAAAGCATTGGCAATGCAGAATTATTTGTACATGTGTTCAGCGAAAGAGTTAAAGATTGTTCGTTTCAGAGTTGACATGCATTTCTGGGCAGCAAGACCCTCTCATTCTATAAACTGCATAAATTTTATATCGTTTGTGAAAAATATTTATGAAATATTCAGCATTGTGAATATAGAAGGCTAATAACCAAATTTAGATGTGGACAGAATACTCTTGGTATTCAACTTATTCGTAGGAATGATGCTAATATTAAGGATGACGCCGTCTTATGTAAACACTGTCATGTAATTGAGGATGAACATGTTATATACAACTGTCCTCTTTATGCAAGTCGGCGGGAAATGTATATCCAAAAGACAGTTAATCACAATTATTTTTGTTTGGAAAATCTCTGTCAACTATGCAACAACGATACAATGATACATTTTGCAAAATTTCTAATGTACGTGTTCTCAACACACACACACACACACACACACACACACACACACAAAATCAATCAGGTAACTCTTAGATAAATATAATGTAAATGTATTTTGTACAATGGGTCAAATGGCTTTATACAAATAAATATGTCTGTCTGTCTGTTTCTTAAATTGGATGATTGGGTTGGATGTAATTTCTTTGACAGGCATAGGAAGTTGGAGTACTAAGTAAGGATAATAATTTATGGATGAACAATTTCTTTATTACAATTAAGAGCGACGTTTCGGTGCTGGTCACAAAGGGTGCAGACGTGTTGACGCGGGGGGGGGGGGGGGGGGGGGGGGGGGGGGGGTCAGAATCCTTGCCGATGTTCTGCATCGTTTGTTGCAATGGTTCCCCTAGATAGAGGTTATACTGTGTAAATACTTGTTTGAGGTTAATACAGTGTTGACGTATGTTAAAACATGCCAATAACATGTAATGATGAAAAGACGAAATACGAACTGAAATCATCATTTCTCATCAATACATGAATAAGCATGCAGCGAAGAATGTCACGTGGTGGTTGAATAGGTTGTAATAAAGGGTTGTGTCGTGATGACAAAGCAGGGCTATATACAGATCCGTGCACCCACCTGTCAACAACTGCCTCACGCAGGATCAGCCTTTCATCTAATCTTCGTGACACGAAGTGCTTCTAAATTCGGAAACAACCCATTGTGGGACCAGAGAAGGTTTCGGCCGAGCGTGTTAGTTACCGCATGAGTAATATATATTAGGAATACAAACTGTATTATGATAGCATTTTCATTCGTAATATATGATAATTAACATACGGGAAAATACGAGGATGTCTTTATCATATAATGTCATTTTCAAAATAATTATTTTTGTGGATACTTTTAAGACATTGTTTAAGACCATTTTGATTCATTAAAGTGACTTCAGAAATAGCGTAGTTATATCATATAATGTCATTTTCAAAATAATAATTTTTTGGGATACTTTTTAGACATTGTCAAGACCATTTTGATTCATTAAAGTGACTTCAGAAATAGCGTAGTTATATAATGTCTGAGTGAACCGCCCAATTTATTATATTGTGCCAAATATATTTGCAGCAATGTTTCTAAACACAAGCACTCACACATCGGGAAAATCGGGAAACCTATCTAAACTGGGAACGCCATGCAAAGATTTCTGAGCAAGTGGGCTTCGCAACGATGCATAGAGCTTACTAAAAGTTCCTGCAAGATTCCTCATTTGCATATTTATCGGTACCAAAATTATTAATTTGGGTTATTGCACCGATAACACTATCCATTAGAGGATAACATATCATACTGACACATTGAATCCCCGTAAGTCTTGAAATCCAGTCTCAAGACGATTGTGCCGGGGAAAAGAAAAAATACACCCATCTTTGATTGTGGCTGAAAAACAACCAAGAATTGTTTTAATGTTGATGTATATGATACGGGTTTCATAATTGTGTTTTTTTTTTTTTGGTTTGTTGTTTAACGCCGCACTCAGCAATATTCCAGCTATATGACGGCGGTCTGTAAATAATCGAGTCTGGACCAGACAATCCAGTGCATAATATCATGAGCATCGATCCACGCAATTCGGATCGATGACATGCATCAACCAAGTCAGCGAGCCTGACCACCCGATCCCATAAGTCGCCTCCTACGACAAGCATAGTCGTCTTTTACGGCAAGCATGGGTTGCTTAAGACCTATTTTACCCCGGTTTTGGACCTTAAGGTATGGCTGGTATAAAATACCGTTGCTACAAATGACCCAGCATGATCTCCCTGTGACGAGATTGTCACTGGCGTGCACGGATACCAACGTCTCATGCCTCCATTGTGACGTCAGCTTTCGCCACTCTCGATGCAATGGTTGTCCGTGATTCTATAGACTGGCTACTGGTTAGTCCAGCTTCTGTACCAGGGCCCACTTGCACAAAACGATCTTAGCGCTAAGACTATTGTAAGCCTATGTTAAAGTATGGGAGTTACGATCATCTTAGCGCTAAGATCGCTTTGTGCAAGTGGGCCCAGGTGTCCCAGATGTGTTCTGGACTTTTGTCGGGCCAAGGGATGGACGTGAAGGTGTCCAGCTGGAGGAACCCGGTTACCTGTCGAGAGTGAGTGAGTGAGTTGGGTTTAACGCCGCTTTAACAGTATTCCAGTCATATCACGGCGTGTGGGAGGAAACCCGGAGTGATGCAGGTCTCAGATACCTGTCGGGAACAAAGTGGTCTCGCGTTGTCTTCCTTGCAGACATAGGATTGTTATTAAAATGTGGTACAACGGTAGGATCCAGGATTTGACGCCCGTATCTGTCACATATCTGCACAGCGACCACCTTGCTGTCTTGGGACAGGCAACATCACATAATAACTGATCCTCCAACAAAGGGAACTGTAGGGAGAATATTCCTGGGCATGAATGCCGCGTTGTCACCAGACTTATATAAATACGCCCGTCTGAGACACACAAGAAGAACCTTTCTCTCATCCATACGCCCACAGACTCATTACATGGAATTAGCTTTAATAAACCGCCACGCAAAAGACAGCATACACTTGAACACTGGATTTTACCCCAAACTTCAGATTTGACCCTAAACGTTAGTAGACCGAAACACACTGTTAGGAGCAATCAAACATGGATTTAAACCGACAGTAAAAGACGTGACTATACAACCGAATCACATGTACGCTGTGAAGATATGTTATCGTGTATACGTTGTTGAAATGTCGTGTGTAAACTGATCTCTAGAAGTGTCGGTGTCGAATATATTAATACGTTTCCTTTTCTTATAATTCACATCGCGATTGGGATGATACGTATACATTCGTTTTTCTATGGACAGAGCCGTCATTACTCTCATCTGTAAAGGGCTTCTTAAACCTTTTATGCACAAGTTTGAGTGCAAACTGTAAATAGGAATGTGGCCCAGTGATATTTGCTCATACATTCCGATCCTAGTGCGTTATACGTTGAGAGAGGTTTCTGTACTGGCAAAAATGAGAGCAGCACATGTTTGTTTACGCGGTCTAGAGGATTAGAGCAAATCTCCTGTAAATGTATATACGTCGCGAACTTCTAATTTTGCAGTTACAGATGAGAGAGAGAGAGAGAGTGTGTGTGTGTGTGTGTGTGTGTGTGTGTGTGTGAGAGAGAGAGAGAGAGAGAGAGAGAGAGAGAGAGAGAGAGAGAGAGAGAGAGAGAGAGAGAGAGAGATCGACCCCATTACCGAGGTCTGGAGAAATTCAATGCGTCTAAAGTGAGTTTGGTTTAATGTTTAACGTCCATCAGTTATATCCTGACTGTCAAGCCTGAAGTGATGAAACTACCGCTTTAGTGTTTGTTGTTTAACGCAATATTCCAGCTGGATGTATATATATGTAAATAATCAAGTCTGAACAAGATTGACATCAAGAGCATCTATTTACGTAAATTGGGATACGACGACATGCATCAATCAAGTCAGCGAGCCTGACCATCCGATCCCCTGAGTCGCCTTTTATGACAAGCATGGGTTACTGTCCAAAGATGAACACTATTGTAATGTCCGAGCACGTGTATACAGGGTTAGAAACTAACAGTTTTTGTCCACTAGTCCTTATAATGATAACATATAGCAAAACCCTTAAAATGGGTCAATTTTCTACTAGTCCTTAGGATACCTTTACTATTGGGCAGTTTGGTAAGGACTACAGGACTAGTGCCAATTTCTAACGCTGGTATAGTGCAAAATAGACTCTGCATCGATGTATATGAATCGTCCTTCCTGCCTGGACCACATTTGCAATGTTGATACAATACCATGTCAACAAGTTTATCGCACCAAGTATTCACTAAATGATAAGGGTAGGTATATTATCATTATTCTTGTTTGAATCCAACGCCCTACAGATGTTCACGCCCAGACTGCCTGCAGCGTCCGGCAAGACGCGGCGTGTGTGGCGGAGATGAGATCCCTCTACACCAACACCTCGGCCTACTGGTTTGGGACGAGGTTCGCGACGGACTGCCCACCGGGCAGAGGGGGAGTCTTGTGCAGAAATACTAGACCATCAGGAACCTCCCTCATCACTCGACTGCTGGGGGACAGCGCCAGCGACCCCAGCGGTCTAACCTTCGTCATCAACGTCACTTACCCAATTACTCTTCCGGGTGAGTAACTTCTTCGCTATGGCGGCGTTTTTCCTTAACATTTTACAAATTCAGTTAGAAATAAACTCAATGTTGTAGTTTCGAATCACATAGTATGAGAAATTATTTGTTTCTATATATAGTGAAACAGGAAAACAGTTGACTTTACGATGGAACCCAATTCCGTTTGATTCCGACTTTTACTTGACCTAAGCTAAAGGGAGGTCACTCTTATATGATGTTGTTAGAAAACTAAAACTATACCGTTGCTGAGGCAGAGTCAGACATTTTGTGTTCTTGTATATTGTATATAGTGGCAGGTGAGGGAGTGAGTATGGTTTTACGCCGCTTTCAGCAATATATCACGGGGGGAGGGGGCACTTAGTGACAGGTGCTAACACAGGGGGATACAGAGAATGCAGACCTATTTAGAGTTTATGTCAAGACTCTGCAACGAAAACAGTCTTAGATAAACAATATACTACCCTTCACACATACATGTATGTGATTTCTTATATTTTCAGCTGATGGCACTGACCGTGAGTTTAACCCTCCTTGCCTACTCCAATAAATACTCATTTAATCAACATATGAGTCGCTGTTTTGTTACCCATTAGCTATTTAATAATACCAATAATTCATACGAGTATATTGAATCACAAATTTTATTTTATTTTAGAAACTATTTCTTGATTTCACAAAAGATATCAGTAAATGAAATCTGAATATATATTTGGTGGGATCTTAAAATGTGTATTTTATAACATTAAACATGAATTTGTGATATTACAAAATCAGAAGTATTTTTTAAATTTAAAAATATCGATTAAGTGATGTCAACTATTCATTTTGTGTTACCTGATAATACATCTTTTGATATATTCACAAAGTGGATTTGAGACATTTAAGAAAATAATTTTGATATTGTGTGAACGCTTTGGACCGTGCAAATTAAAGTCATGTGAAGATCCGGGGTAGAATAGGTCTTCAGCCACCCATGCTTGCCGTAAAAGGTGACTATGCTTGTCGTAAAAGGCGACTAACGGGATCGGGTGGTCAGGCTCGCTGACTTGGTTGAAGCATGCCATCGATCCCAATTGCGTGGATCGATGCTCAGGATATCAATCACTGGACTGTCTTGTCCAGACTCGATTATTTACAGACAGCCGTCATATAGCTGTAATATTGCTGAGTGCGGCGTTAAACAACCAACCAACCAACCAAGTCATGTAAACGCCGGGGCTTACGAAAAGTAAGTTTCGGTCGAAATCATGTAAACGTCAAAACGTGAAGTTTATACTTTGTAAACTTTACTTTTTAAAGATTGTTGAAAAATGAACGGGTTATGTGAGCAGCAAATATACCAATCACATCACCGGAAAGATCTTAAACTAAAAAGTAAGAATATATAAACAATATATGGTAAGTTTTTATTGCAAGTTTTTTAGATATGTTGCAAATCATGGTGAGCTGAGACACGGACGTACATACACGTATATACGTCTTTGGCTGAGACAAGTTATGTTACAGCTCGGAGAGGACTCTTCATATTAGTCTTGAACATTTCTTAAAATCGACAAACTATGCCGTCATAATTATATACGTGTCTTTGATAATCACCAGGAACATACACCGGATGTGGGAGGATAGTGGACGTACCCTTGGCAGGACCACAATATTTATCCATCGACCCCCTCAGCGGCACCGAGTATCCCCCATTCGACGTGCGCGAACTACCGGAAGTGACGTGGCCTGCGGAGGATAACGCCCTCTACACTGTTATAATGTATGACGCTGGGTTTTGCTTCACGCATGGGTTGTACGTCAACGTCGCCGGCGGCAGGCTGCAGGGTGGAGACGTGGGTGACATTTCCTCTGTACAAGATAAGCTGCCGGGCAAAAGGAAGTAAATTATACACTTGAAAATGGGATTTGACCACCAAATTATGAACGTTTTCAAAACGTTACAAGTCTGAAACAGTTGCCAGAACACTGCAAAGTTAAGGTACAAAACACAACTTTAATACGCATTTTGAAGACATCACCATCGAATAACCATTTCTTGTTTGTTTCATATTTAGCCACCATCAGACATGGGTGTCTACTTTCCTTTGCCTGGCAGTTTATATATTTAACTGAGAATCCCAGAATACACCACGAGACTTCGCCCAACCATGACATGCATTTGAATTTTAACACACTTAAATTATTTCTTCTTCTTTTTCAATAAGAGATAGGTGAGGATGGTCCAGTCATCTGAATTTGCTTGCAGTGTTGCGTGACTCAGTCGTGCCAGTATCCGCTGATCCATGGTTCGAATCCTAGATTTGACCTGAATATGTTGCATGGTTTGACAGACCAATACCCTGTCCGTGGGGATCTGGGCCGGATAAATCAGTGGTTGACACAATGTCACATTATGTACAGCGCCCAACGACACCGGGGTGCGATAATATGTAATACAGTAACCCAATCATCGAACCATGCACCAGGTGCAGTTCTAGTCGCCTTTAACAAGCAAAAGCTGTTTGGAACCAATTCTAACGCGCGCGGGATACAATTTGCACGGAAAGTAAGTATTTATTGCCTGACCCCGTTCTGCCGTGCGACGGTGGCCTGAAAACGAACCAGACAATCAAGTGACCGAAGAAACAGTAAATCCAGTGACACGATAGTACGGAAGTACTTATCATCTTGAAATTTCAAGATCATTATCTTGAAATTTCAACTTATGTACCTTGCAATGTCAGGTTGTGTGTAGACCGTGTCGCTTGATACTGAGAGTCATAGTACGGTGCTGTCTCCAATTCAATATTTAATCAGGAAAATTCCAAAAAAGTAAGGTTAGACTACTGATCTCTTTTAGACGAAATCTGGCGGAAATTCGGGGCAGGTCAAGTCTTCCTTGCTTGTCTTTCTTTGTCTTCAGAACCTACAAATGACTACAGGGTGATAACGATGTGTGACCTGGCTAAATGTCTCCCCGTGCCCTGCAGCGTTCATCTTTGTTCATGCCATCAATTATGAGTAAAGCTGACATTATCTGGCGTAAGGAAATACTGGCAAAAGCAACTCCAAGCATCCATAAGGTCGCTATGATCAGGTCACTGAATCCCATGATTGGTGCAAAAGGTAGATATCAACCGAGCACTGCTTAATCCCCCAAATAAAATGAAATCATCGTGCTATTTTTAGAGTCATTTGCATCCCTACACATAAGTTCTAAAACTAGCCCTCATGTCCAGGTATAGCTAAATACGTCACAAACTTATGTGTATGAAGGAGCAAATACGTCCCAAAACAGAGAATGCCACTGTGACGTATTTAGGTCACGCGTTACGCTTTGAGTTACTGCTCGATGGCTTCATTAAATTGTACATCCTTTGTTGCAGACTATAGTTCCCCACTTTGGGCCTGGCAATCCCGTGGACCGGGCCAACCCGTACGTCTGGCTCGTGTTCAAGCAACAGAGGTCACTGGACGTCGCGACTGTCAACAACCTTTACACGACACTGAGCTCCCGCAACCAATCCAGTGTCTTCGTGGATGACTTCATTTCGCCACTGGGGCTCTCAAGTAAGAATTACATTTAGGAAGATTATTTACTATTTATTTCTCTATTATAAAATATCATTTTAACATCACGAACCATGCTGAACTGTCAACATGAGTCACAGTCACATGTCTTTAGTTGGTACAGGAAGATGGGTGATTTTACACTTCGTATAAATCGATTATTGCGAGAAACGGCTTTAACGAAATAATTTAAGGTTCTAAGCTGTTATTAACGTAATTGGTTTGGATACAATGATATTTTATTTTGCCTTTTTTTCCGAATCAGATGGTTTGTTTTTTTCAAACCAGGAGTAAAAGATATATATATATATATATATATATATATATATATATATATAACGTACATTCTTTAGATTCCTTTTCTGTTTTCTGGTGTCACCCGCCGTGATAGTGCTGGAATATCGGTGAAAGCGTCGTAAAAAAATATTCACTGCAGTGCTCCAGAGAAGCTGTATATGGTAAAATACGTGCGATAAATCGATATATCGATATAACCCAATTGATTATAAAAAAAATGACAATAATATAACACTGTGCGTAATTACCTAGCCTTTTCGGTTTTGGGGCCTGTATGTCATTACCCACCTGTATTTACTGATGGAATGAGTGCAGCTCATCACGAGTACTGAGTGCGATGTTAAGCAACAAACAAACAAACAAACAAACAAACTCCACGATTAGTCATGCAAAAAGGATCTAGAACTGGCTTTATTGTAACTTATGATCTTGTGTGATGTGTGACACACTTGGGGCAAATTAGAAGTCACCCGAAACAGCTTTTTAAGTTTTTTAAACTTATGTTTACAAGGGGCTACTCATTAGTTTAACAATACCCAATATACTGGACCAAAGGGTATAGCTATATTGAATGCCTAAAAGAAAACTATCAAAACACCAAGTGAATAACGTGAGAAAATACTCATTGGCTCAAACATTCATCTGGAGCCACAGACTCACTTACTCTCCATTGTGCACAAACCTGATTTTGTAAAGGTAATACTTTTTGTTCATGGTTGCAGTGCAGTCGTATGGCATCAACGTGGTCATGGCCGCAACGGACGAGTACGCCAGTTTCCGCCTCCGCTCACGTGGACTTCGCAACGGATGTCCATTCTTCTATGGGAAGTGTAAGTTGTACAGAAATCAGTCATTAACTTGTTTAATTTATGGTCATTTATGGTCATTTATTTAATTACACCAAACCAAACTATTCTATTCTGGTTAATTGTTTCGAGTCTGTATGAAGTGATTTATACAGTGAAGGAAACATCTGAAATCTCTCGCCCATCAGACTTTCAAACCATCTCTCAGTGAACACACGAATGCCATTAAGAAAGTGGTCAAATGCAAAAAAAACTTTCAGATTCTCGTATTTGTTCATATTTTGGGGTGGGGGGCTTTGGGCTTTGAACCCACACTGCCAGAGTGAGTCACCTGATATGAATCTAATCGCAAAAAAGTTCGCGAAAGTGTTGTCCCAAATATAACATATGTAACATTCGAACACTTTCTAACTGGCATTCGTGTGTTCATAGCCCTCGCTATGGGAGCCGTGCCAATTTACACTTGTCAAAGGGTTAGACAAAGTACCTGATTAGACTACCAGTAGTCGGACTTTTATTTTTGATGGAAGCCGCGGTGGCTGAGTTGGTTAGATCGCTGACTTTGTGTGCTGGCGATTAGGTGCCTCACTCTGGCAGTGTGGGTTCAAATCCTGGATGTACTTTACTAAGAAAATGTATCTCAATTAGTGGGGCCAATCCTAGTAAGTATGTTTCAAGTCAATCAAAATCCGCGTTGTATTTCTGCTTTATCACATTCGATGTATAAAGTAATATCAACATTAAGACCATTTAAAATGCGTCAGATTCCATTCACAAAATGAATTCCCATGGGGGCTACATAAATACATGTATTACCCCACATGGATCGGTATGCACTGGAATTTCATTCTTGTACAACCCAGGCCGCCTTTAAGGAACAAGAAGGTTAACAGTCACTTACCATCCCATCCAATCGTCCTACCAGGTACCCATCAACTGCTGTGCCCATATCTGTCTAGCAGCACACGATTACCCTGCGTACCAATGATGTGTTAAGACACGAATAGCAATTTCCAAATCTATAGGCTGGGAATTGGCAAAATCACTGTGAAATACGTCTAGTTATGGATGATTTACCAATAGTTGATATGAGCGTTTTATCATACGTAGAATGCAATCGAGTTATTATATCAAACATGGGCACACATTTCTAAACAATAAATTCACTCAAAATTATGATTGAATTCTGACAATATGTTTACTACGTAGGGTTAAGCAGCTACATTCAGGAAAGAGGTGGGCTCCCGTCACTTCCGGTGCGTCTTGGTCTCACCGTATCCATTGACGTCACCTTCACGGCCCCCGCTATAACGTATACATCGTGCGACATTGTGTATCAGAGAAGGTTGGTAATCTCATGTCCCCGCTATAACGTACACATCTTGCGACATAGTGAATCACTGAAGATGGGTTCGTTCATGTCCCTGGGCGGTCGGGTAGCCTAGTGGTTAAAGCGTTCGCTCTTCACGCCGAAGACTCACGACATGGGTTCGATTCACGACATGGGTACAATGTGTGAAGCCCATTTCTGGTGTCCCCCGCCGTGATATGGCTGGAATATTGTTAAAAGCGGCGTAAAACCATACTCACTCACTCTCTCATGTCCCCGCTATAACGTACACATCGTGCGACATAGTCTATCAGAGAAGGTTGCTACCCTCTTCTCCCCTCTATAACGTACACTTCGTGCGGAAAAGCATTTCAGAGGTGGGTACTCTCATACCCCCGCTATCACACATATCGTGCGGAATAGCGTATCGTGGAAGACGAATTTTTCTCAGTGGAACTATTATTTCTATTCAGTGTCAAAATCACCGAATTTTAGATGCATTACATCTCAGTTGTGAAGATTCCGGGGTAGAATAGGTCTTCAGCAACGCATGCTTGCCGTAAAAGGTGACTATGCTTGTCGTAAAAGGCGACTAACGGGATCAGGTGGTCAGGCTCGCGGACTTGGTTGATGCATGTCATCGATCCCAATTGCGTGGATCGATGCTCATGATATTAATCACTGGATTGTCTGGTCCAGACTCGATTATTTACAGACCGCCGGTATATAGCTGGAATATTGCTGAGTACGGCGTAAAGCAACAAACCAAACCAAAACCAAACCGATCTTCCCGTTGATGAATGATCTTAAGTGCGTGTAAACAATGCCACTTGCCGTGTTAATAAGGTAACAAATGCTGGTCCAAATAGCATGTAGGTTGAAGAAGACGAAATTCTTTTTTCCAGCCCTGTGAACGTCACTGTTGATTATCGAAGCAGGGATCTATTAGGCGCCGTGGAGACTCGGATGTCCCCCGAAGTCAGTCTGGTTCCCGAGGAAATCAGTGTCGTCACACTGAGAGGTGAGTGAAAAATAATAATTTCTTCCAGAAAAAGTAAACTAATTCTCAGGTTTTGCACACAGAAAAATGTCACATAGGAAATCTCATATACATTCAGGTGATAGAAACTGCCGGGCCAAAACTTATACACTGCAAACTTAAGGTCCAAAACACAATTATGATACCCGTATCAAATACATGTACATCACTAATGAACCATTTTTTGTTCTTTTTCATTAAAATTTTTAGCCACCATCAAGCGTGTCTTTATTTTTCCCCGGCAGTTTATAAATGTATGTTTTACTTTCTGATTACTTTCGACGGATTTGATTCACAGGAAGCATGGATGTTCGATTTGACCTAGTTTAATTGGAGAAAAGAAGGAAAGACAGTTGAATTTCTCAGTCTGTAGACAATATGTGGTGCGGGCGGAGCTGAAAATCTGATTATTAAAGTATTATGGCCTTAATGCACAAAATATGACAATTATGAATATATCGCTGAATTATAATAACGGTTATACACCAATACCAAGGCGGTGCGTGTCTTACTTACCTCAGTATACACACGTTCTTAGATCTGCTTCTGTTTTCAGACAAGCAGTACACGCTGTTGATGTACGACCCCACCCCGGAGCTGGGGAAAACTGAACAGGACGCCTACGTCCACTGGATGGTGGTCAACATCCGGGGTACTGACATCACTTCCGGTGACGTGGTGTATGAATGGCTACTGCCCATGGCACCAGTGTTGAATCAGCTCTACCTGTTTGCCTTGTTCGAGCAGACGACATCTATCAGCACCACAACAGCTGGATCCTTCGGATCAACAGATTGCCGTCCAGCTACGAGGTACATGAACTTCCCATTACACTACATGTTCTTGACCCGTGAAGATCCGGGATAGAATAGGTCTTCAGCAACCCATGCTTGCCACAAAAGGCGACTATGCTTGTCGTAAGAGGCGACTAACGGGATCGGGTGATCAGGGTCGCTGACTTGGTTTGATGCATGCTACGTATCCTAATTGCGTGGATCCATGCTCATATCAATCACTAGATTGTTTGGTCCAGACTCGAATATTTACAAACCGCCGTCATATAGCTGGAATATTGCTGAGTATGGCGTTAAATAACAATCAATAAACAAAAAACTACATGATCTTGGATAAAGCGTTTGCCCAGAATAGCCAAAGGTCGTTGGTTCCATCACTGGCCACGTCATATCAAAAGAGGTAAAAGATGCATGGTAACTCTGGCGCTCGACATATTAGGGCTGTAATAATGCTACCCCCCCCCCCCCCCCCCCCCCCCCAACTTCAGTGTGGATATTCCGGATGTCCAAGGACGACAATTAAGTTTCTTCGTAAATCTATGCTTTACAGAGTTATGTCCCTTGTCCTATGGATTTAAAAATTCGGGTGTGCTATTAACAGCCAGGCAAAATAAAGTATGCACCCACTTTTGAAGGCGGCTTAATATGAAACAAACAAGAAATGGTTTTGCAGTGTTTCGGTGTGTTCTGCCAAGTAAAGTTAACGTTCTGATAACGTTAATAATTTTGTGGTCAAATCCCGTTTTCTTGTGTATACTTTCTTTTGGCCGGCAGCTTAGTAACTTTATTCACACAATGAGACAGTTACACTGGCTTTTGAAAATAATTTGTCAAGATAATACAGGAATTTAATTGTGTCTCAGGTTTTCCTCCAAAATGATTTACTTTTCCCGAAAACGTCTTCTTGGTCTAAAATGCAGTAATTTCACTGTGTATACCGACTAAAATTCACTTAGATAGTACCTATTTACAGTTACTTATCAACTTGGATTTGTTGCAGATGCAAGTTCAGGGCTGGCGACTTCATCCGCTACAACAACCTCTCCCTCGTCGGTTTGAGATACTTCAGGACGATCCCCGACACCTACCGCCAGTACATGGCGTACGCCGTCAAAAAAATTCAAACTAAGCAACAAGCCTGTTGGGGTCAGGCCAGCGAACGTCCGCAATGTCCATTCAGTTCCGGAATGAAGCAGACAAACCCAATCGGCATCATTATATCAGTTCTGACAATATTGGCAACCTACTTGACCTCCTGGATAAACTAGCCGGTGAATTTGACAACAACCAACCATGTCATCTAATAATAGTGTATGGTACCGAATACTTGAATATGTTAATCAATGGGATTGTGTTGTATTCTTTGATTTTCGGTGTAAAACACTACTTCCACAACCATACTTTTAGTGACCACTTCAGCTAAATGTACATTATCTATCTTATTATCATTTGATTATCCTACTCGACTTCTTGGGTCGTAAATTGTCATGTTGCTCTCGATAATGCGGTATGGACATGCCCGTGCAAATTGATCTTAAAGTCGACGTCTTCATGAAAGAGGCATCATTTAATTTCAGAATAAATTTATTTTTACTGACCTTCATTTCAAGCAGTTACTTTTTTCCCCCCATTAGTATAAAACGTCATACTATTTCCCATTTCCACCCGATTTAATGACAAAGTCTTAACACTACTTGAACAGTATTTACCATCTATCATATTCATTTCATATATAATAGCAAAGCCCAAGGTAACATATATATATGGCGGCGTAAAACCTTATTCACTCGTTCACTCTATGTTCAAGGTGAACTATCGCTAGTCCCTCTATGAAGACCGGTTATATTGCGAATATTTAAAAATGTGTGTGTGTGTGTGTTTTTTTTACTTGTAGCAGTCCGGTTTTATTGTGCTTGTCTACTGACATACGACGCCACAGTTTAACATAAACACTGTATAGTTCCAGCGTAAGAAATAGGCACTAGTCCTATAGCTTGCCAAACTGCTTAATAGTTAGGGTATCATGAGGACTAGTAGAAATTTGCCATTTTTTTAGGGTTTTGCTATATGCTTTCATTAAAAGGACTAGTGAACTAAAACAGTTAGTTTCTATCCCTGTTAAACTGACTCCGACCTGACCAGCCCTTGTTAACTCTTTCAACACCAGTCAACCAGAAGTGTTTACTGCTGGGACACCGAGTTCCCAGAGGCTCTTGTATGATAGATGAAGCCAACATTTATCAAAGAAAATACCTGCTTGTAAAATATATTTGCTACTACATGTTATACACCATTTGAAAGGTCTGATCCTATGGTTTATAAATATGAAAGTTATGTTTTTCACATTATTTAAAATAATGCATTTACAACTTAATTAAATTCGTTGTAAATAAAAAATGTACGCTAACACGTTGTTAACATCCAGATTAAGGACCAAGGAAGCGAAAACTTGACGATTTTCGGCAAATATATGATTTCACAATATCCACGTACCTATTTCTATTTTATTTTCATTGTTTACGTTATTGGAAAATCATTTTAAAAAGAATTATAAATAGTCTCTGTCATCACCCATTTCCCGATAACAGCGACTGTCCGCTCAGTAAAATGAAGAAATACCCCCGTTTTCGAGGTTTCGTATGAATAACACGTTCGTCGAAGAATGGCCTATGACACATCGCTGGAAAGCTTATTCCTTCATCTACACGCTCGTAACATCGACTGGTTTTTTTCCGTAGTTATAACAAGCGATTTCATTGGATTAAAATTGGTTTCTAATGACGCTTTCTTGCTGAAATCTGCTACAAGTTTCGTGATTGGTCAATTTTGAGCACGTGACCTAAGGCAGCCAATCAAATTACAGCTTTGATACCAAGCTCGTGTTCGATAAATTACAGAAGTTTGCGAAATAATTTTGTTAAATCGTGTTATTCTGAACGTTTTGAGCAGGAAATCACGATATATATTAAAAATATGGAACTTCGTGAATGTATCGTGCTAGGTTACGAGCTGTGACAAAGATTTTTCATGCATATATTTTTGCATTAAACATCGTGTCCGAGCCGAGAATTCAAGGCGACGAAAGCCGAGATGTCATTTGACTTACATTACACGCGATCGCACGAAAAGATGAAAATAATAACTTAGATGTAAGTTTGATTACTTTTAGATATATTTTTGTTGATTTTATATATTACTTTGTATAATATATTTAAAGATTTGTTTAAAACGTCTTTATTTTCCTCTTTGACGTGTTCGATGTGGACCGGTTGTCGAAATGTGTGTCCGAGAATTTTATTTTCAATAACATCGCGGGAAAAAGTCAATAATTTTTTAATTGAACGATAAAAAATGTTAAATTGAAATGGAATATGTATTTCAGACATTGTGAAATGTGATAGATTTAATAAATGAATGATATTACAGGTAGGTCCATAAAAATATAGTACTATTTTGACGTGACTACGGCTTGGCCGGATAACCGGCCTGCGGTGTCTGGGGACTCGATGCTTCTTGGCCGGATAACCGGCCTACGGTGTTGAAAGAGTTAATGCCGAACGCCAAACTGGGTAACCACAAGTACATATTGTATATTCTGTTTGGTATGATGGGCTGACAGTAACTGACGGTTTTATACAACATATTGTCGCTGCATGTACATTACATACAGGTTGATATAGAGTTGAGGGTCAAAGGTGAGTTTGTGCCGTATTACAGAACAAAATGTAAGGTGATTTTAGACATGCAACATAAGTTATGCATATAACAATTTCATAAACTTACAAAATGACATTTTCAAATGGCCACAGCTGGGTGAAAAATCAAAACACTCTAAAATTGTATTCACCATACCAGAAACTCACTTCAAATACACATTCATTGAGCTACATGGAGAAGTGTTTGAGTAATGGGCACACATAACATTTTGTACATGGCCACATTGGCCGTAATCGAAACAGAATTCGTCAAGAATATTTGGAGACACCATAACTTAAGTTTTTCTTGAGAGTTCAACTATGGAAATTTGATAATTTGGGAGATGTTGAAAATGTAAATGTATTTATTCAACAGAGCGGGATTCAGATAGCTAAAAATGAATTCATTCTTGGTGTGTGGTTTGTGGTTTACACTTTCGGGTTTCAGTACAATGTATCTAAACGTTTTCCTGCTGTTAAATGACCATGGAATAATGATAAAAACTAGATTTCAATAAAATGATAACAAACAGCTTCTTTAACGCATTCAACGGCAGTCAACCAGTAGCTTTTACTGCTGTGACATTGAGTTCCCCGAGACGTGATAGATGAAAATACATTTATCAAGGAATTTTTCAGTTCGTAAAACATATTTGCTACAACATGTCAAACACCATTTGAAAGGTCTCAACCGACTGTTTATAAACCTGAAAGCTGTGTTTATCACATTTAAATAATGCATTTATAACTTAAGTTCGTTGTAAATATAACGAAACACATTCATAACGTCCAGATTAAGCGAAAATTATGGCGATCTTCGGCAATCATAAGATTTCATAATATACACTTACCTATCTTTTATATATTTTCAATCTTTAACTTATCAGAAAATGATAATAAAAAGTATTATAAATCCTGCCACATGTTTCCGAGCCTATAAAACGAGGCGACAAATGCTGAGATGTCATCTGACTTATATTGCACGACCAAACGAAAAGATGGAAACAGTAAACTTAGATGCAAGTTTACAATTCTTAGAAATATTTTTGTTGAATTTATTTATTACTTTATGTAATTTATTAACGATTTTCTTCAAAGTATTCCATTTATTTATGTTTGACATGTTCGATATGGACTCGTTTTGGAAGCATGTGTCGCGTTTTTTCCGAGCTTTGGGGGACTCATGACCTCTTGGTATCTGTACCTACGGCCAGCGGTGCTGAGTAAAAATCACACTTTACCAACCCTCATTGGCAATAAGATGTGATGACCCGCATATCCAAACACGTACATTCTTCATCAGACAACGGTCAAGTTCATCGAATATACCAACCAGAACACATAAATGATTGGGTATACTGGATACAATTCAGTTTTAACACAGAAACTTCACAAGAAATATTCTTTTAGATAATTTTTATATCTCTATTCAGATAAGCAGACTTTTTACAAACTTCTCCAATCCAATCCCGAAAAATGTGTTAAAGTACTAAAATATGATTGAATCATTATTAAATATTGAATTACAATCCTTACCATAGCATGTGCTTGGTCGCCTGCATGTTTCTAAGAGGTTTGTTAAAACAGCTGTACCGTGTACTATTAGGGCAGAACAATATACATGTATTTCACTAAAGAAATAATTAACGAATTACACGTAAACAATACTAGGGATAACAAATGAAGCAATTAGTCTATCTTTAAATTAGAAAAAGGGGCACTGTACAGAAAATATATAAAAAAAAAGCAACAGGTATGAGTTTGCTGCCACAGTTGATACGATACATTTGATACTGCCCATATCACTGCTGTCTGATGAGGAATGACTGAGGAATTCTAGTCCAAGTATGCTTGGTACCTGAAACCGGAATACCGTGATAACGGTTAACACAATGAAACACTCGACAACAATTATTTTTTTAGATAGTTTTGTTTAATTTCTGACAAATACATTAGGTGTTGTGAAGTCTCTCATTACTGGTTCCTCGGTGTAATGGCGAAACTGTCAGGGACTCGGGGGGGGTGAGTTACCGCATCACAGCTAGTTACAGGGTAGGTCAGCAACTTTCACTGTAAACAGAATTAAAATCAACAAATGGTACGTGCTGTTGGGTATTCCGATCCCCTCCCCCCAAATTGGTATATATAATATAACAGTTATTCGGTGTTTGCGATGTACCAATGTGTCAAATGTACGCAAAACGGAAGTCGACATTCCCAGAACCTAATTCAGTGTCAATTCACACAACCCCAGCGTTAGAAATTGGCACTAGTCCTGTAGTCCTTGCCAAAATTTTATATGATAGCAAAGCCCGATGTAACATATATATGGCTGCGTAAAACCTTATTCACTCATTCACTCTATGTTCAAGGTGAACTATCGCTAGTCCCTCTATGAAGAACGGTTATATTGCGAACATTTAAAAATGTGTGTGTGTGTGTGTGTGTGTGTGTGTGTGTGTGTTTTACTTGTAGCAGTCTGTGCACTAGTCCTACAGTCTTTGCCAAACTGTCTAATAGTTAGGGTATCAAAATGGCTAGTAGAAATTTGCCATTTGTAAGGGCTTTGCTATATGTTATCATTATAAGGACTAGTGGACTAAAACTGTTAGTTTCTACTGCTGCAAACCACAAGCCGCAGTCAATTCGACAACTTCGTCTAATGCTAAAAGGACCCAGATCATCCTGATGGCTTTCGAAACCGTCTACCACTTCTTGCAAACTTCTCAGAGGACAACAAAAGAAAAGTATTAAAATATTACCAATGTCGATACCTCCGACATTACTTCTGTCGATCCCTCGGTAAAACCTTCCTGGAAACGCTCATGTAATGTGCCACTACCCGTCCAAATACACGGGCTCAAACCGAAGCAATGGGTCGCGAGTGGGTCCAAGTCATTTATCATCACAGAATGGAGATAAAATACCCTGGATACACGAGGGTAGACATTTTGAAAAGAATAGTTGGATTCTGATTCAGCAACTTGGCTACAGACAAATATCATCTGGACATTTGTACGAGGGGTGTTCATTAAAGATTTCCCCTAAACCACTTAGGGTTATCATATTTGGTTGAAGTTTCACATGTGTAATGATACATGTATCTATTGGTTATGTCTGAATTTGCAGCACCGAACTTTTGATCTTACCACTTTTACAGGTGTTATGATCGAGTAGGGTGTGACAATGGAGCCAGTAGAATACCCAGCAGTGACTAGGTTTTTATATTTGAAAGGTCGCACGCCGAAAGAAACTTTCGATGAACTGAAAACAACTTATGGGGAAGATGTCCCATCATATGACGTTGTTAAACACTGGCATCGCCAGTTCAAGTGTGGTCGGACATCTGTGGAAACAGCTGCAATTCCTGGTCGCCTCCATTCAGCCATTGATGAGGACACTATCCATCAAGTGGAGACCGCCATTTTGGCAGACCGACGTATAACTGTTCGCCAGTCAGCACAAGATGTCAAGATCAGTGTAGGGTCTGTGGAAAAAATCATCCATGACAATTTGAACATGCATAAGGTGTCTGCACGATGGATTCCCAGGTTGCTCACACCTTTCCAAAAGCAGGAACGAGTCAATTGCTCAAAGGATCTTTTTGACATGTGCCAAAAAAAACCAGGTCAACATTTTTGACAGACTTATCACACAGGATGAAACATGGGTCCATCACTATGATCCTGAGACTGAAGTTCAGTCGATGCAATGGAACCTTGTGGAGTCACCACCCCCAAAGAAGGCACGTGTCCAACCCTCTGCAGGCAAGGTCATGCTCACGGTGTTTTGGGACCAGCACGGAGTAGTGATGATGGATTTCTTGGCAAAGGGTAACACAATTACAGGAGCTTATTATGCTTCACTGCTGCGGAAATTGCGGGACGCTATCAAGCTTAAGAGACGTGGTATGCTGACCAAGGGTGTCCGTCTCCTGCAAGACAATGCTCCAGTACACAACTCTCGTGTTGCCCAGACAGAAGCGCGGTCCTGTGGCAATGATATCCTTCCACATCCTCCTTACTCTCCTGACTTCCACATCTGTCCAACCATGAAGTCATTTTTAAAGGGAAAACGTTTCAAAGATGATGAAACACTGATTTCTGAAGTCAAGTCCTGGTTTGAGACGCAAAAAGAGCTTTTACAAGCGTGGTCTCCATAGTTGCATAAAACGATGGGAGAAGTGTGTAACTCTTGGTGGTTCCTATGTGGAGAAAGACTAATACCTATGCCGAGGTCCATTCCACTTGGTCCATCGGAAGGGGGTCAGGGGAAATCTTTAATGAACACCCCTCGTATTACTTCATCATCATTTTAACAAAGGTATAACAGAACATATCTGAATGAAATTCAAGACCAGAATTAGTCAATGGGATGAATGATTAAATCTTACAAAACAAATTTGAAGAAAGCTAACATCAATACATGGTCATCATGTTAGAGTTTTGCCCCATGCTGTTGCCATACACGTATATATGATGTCAGTAGGTTACACACTGGAGATGTCATTAAGATGTGAAACTGAAATCTATTTATAGTACACTGAATTGTCACGAAGAATGAACACAAGAATGAATCAACAGCAGTATGAGATTAAAGGGGGTCCTGGGGTCATCATTATTTCTATCAAGGAACCATTTAACCTTTAACATAATCATTATGAAGGGAGTCCCATCAGACTAGACTTGTATGCCTAATTTTGATTATATTTTAAGTTGAACGGACAGGCTTTTCACTTACTATCATATGGAACATATACACACACAGGACCGGTAATGTTTCTCAACGTATGTGTTACTCACTGGCGACGATCTTTTTAGCTATTGCAGAAGCTTTATAGCGCCTCATCACTCTGACCATGTGCCATTGCCTCCTTTTCAAAATCCACTGGTTTTTCCAGCCAATGATTCGACCCATCCTAGCGAAGTTCTTCTTATTTAATTTGTTACCCTGCAACACGAGGAAGATACAGACCATATTGCTATGTTGTTGTTTGTTTGTTGTTAAACGCCAGAATGAAGGCCATATGAAGGCGGTCTGTAAATAATCGAGTCTGAACCAGACAATCCAGTCATTGACATCATGGGCATCGATCCACGCAATTGGGATCGATGACATGCATCAAACCAAGTCAGCGAGCCTGACCACCCGATCCCGTTACTCGCCTCTTAGGACAAGCATAGTCGCCTTTTACTGCAAGCATGGGTTGATGAAGACCTATTCTACCCCGAAACATCACGAGTGGAAATAGGCCTTCTTTTCATGTGGCAGGATAAGCCTACCACAGTGTGGTAGGCGGTAACAAGCATGGGTTGCGGAAGACCTATTCTACCCCTTGTGCTATGTATCAACAAAGGAGATCTATTGACATGGAATTTGTTCGTCCCTTGTCCTTGCTCTACCCAAATTGAATATGCTTGAGAATTAAATTGCAGTTGTTTGTGTGTTGCTTAATGCCACATTCAGCAATATTCCAGCTAAATGAACGAGTTCTGGACCAGACAATCAAGTGATTGATATTGTTAACCTCGATTCACACAATCGCGGCAACATGACACACAATCAACCAAGTCACCAGACTGACCACCCTATCCATGTATTCTTTCAGTGTTAACAATTGGCACGGTTCCTATAGTTCTTGCCAAATTGCCCAATAGTTATGGTATCATAATGACTAGTAGAAATTTGCCTTTGATATGGGTTTTGCTATTCGACGTTATAAGCGCCCAGGGCGCTCTCAAAATTTCGTGGTTTATGCTGCCTGAAATGTTTATGTACGACAAATATATTTTTCCAGAATTAAATTCCCCATAATTGAGGGTGCATATCACACATGATTGTGTATTATACGCGAATAAATAAGTCTTGTATACATTGATCAATTGGAAAGGGTGCTAATTGGGATTGTTCACTAGCAAATATAATAGCAAATATTCCCGTGGGCGCTTATTAGAGCGGGGCGCTTATTACGTCGAATACGGTATGTTATCATTATAAGGACGAGATGAAACTTTTCAAGAAAGGATACTTACTCCCAACAATATAATCTTTTTGGATACTTCAACGTAGTTATGGCACCAATCCATCAATCTCTCTCTGTTGTAGTATAGTAGAGTTGTATATTGCGGAGGGCTGTTTTAAGAGGAAACACATATTTAGAATATATTGCGAATGGCGAATATTTAAATGACTGCAACAATGCTGGTGCGACATATAATCTTAGCTAACCCAACCAAGAAACACTTATCGAGGTTGCTGTTCGGAGTTACGACCCTTGGTTGTGCCAAAATGCTTCGACATGCATCACTTAGGGCTTTCCGTCTACATTTAGCTGAGACGCCGTGATATAACTAAAATACTGTTCAGATCCGGGTAAGACACAACATCGAGAGATGGTGTTTGTTACCCAGCCCTGCGCGCAGCATAAAGAGGATAAAATAAGGACTGGTCGACTCGGGGACAATGTACTGTCCGAGTTGGGTATCCATGTTAAAACTGCGGCATAGTATCTCAGTGGACTGGCACTATTAAACCGGCTTTAGTCCGGACTATTTAACGCAGACACATACACTGACATACACTGTCAGTGTATTATTACACACACGCCGTTATACAAGTGGAATTATCATGAAGGACGTTAAACCCATTGTGACCTATTACTGCTAAATAATGATTTAGCATTTGTTACTCAATTTAAATCTAATCAGCCCCAGTAACCTCAGTTGACTCAGTTCAATAACATTTAAATCATCAAAAGCACTAAATCCAACGTCAGCTTCGAGATGCCTTAGGAATCATGACTTTCTGCTGTGGGGTCTTTGCAGATATTCATGTTGTCAAAATAAAAACCACGAAAAGGCACGAATACATTTTTATGTCCACAAATGAAATGCAAATGATTCACACGAATTCATTTTAATACTTCATTTTCAAAAAAATATCGTACTAAAATAACTCACGTTATTGGATATCCAATCTTCTCAATGCGTTTTTTGAATCTATCCGTCCTCGAATCCAAAAACTTTATCATCGCTACCTTCATTGCGGCTGCATCTGCAAGTGAATGGCAAGAGTAGTTAGGGACGGGATATGTATTGTAGGTAGGGGTGACGGTGAGATTGGTTTAAGGACTCTCATATTTGCTGAATCCACAAGTAGTTCTCATATAATATTTTGTTTATTTGAAAAACTCGAACAAATAAATAAATGTCCAGTCCCTTAATCAGTCACATTGGTAGAACACAAAGATTAAGAAGTTACTATAGTTGAGTACCGCCTGGTATCTACCAATACGACACGTATCACAATACTTACTGACAATACCAACAAATATGGAAAATTGTGAAGTCACAGAAATATAACTCTAAAACCTCTGGATTCATACATTCCTTTTTATTATCTCAAAAAACAAAAACTTGATTAAAAAATACAACAAGAACAAAATAGTTTTAAATGAAGGGATTGCAATTAAATGTAATAATAGTTTAATAAGAAGCACGTCCTCAGTCTCCGCGTCCTCGTGTTCTGCCATACTTACACTTTGCGTTATGCTACTTCTGTCATTACGGTAGGTATCTCTATCAGTTTCTGTCCAATGTAGAGGGAATCACGATTCCCCAAACTGACGAGTCAAGTATCGTCTGTACCCTAGCATCGAAGATATCGTTAAAGCCCTAGTAGTTACTAAACAAATACACAGACTAGGGATATTATATCAACACTCAGCAATATTCCAGCTATATGACGGCGATCTATAAGTAATCGAGTCTGAACCAGACAATCCAGTCATTGACATCATGAGCAATTGGGATACGATGACATGCATCAACCAAGTTAGCGAGCCTGACCACCCGATCCCGTTAGTCGCCTCTTACGACAAGCATATTCTTCAGTTCTTCTCTGGAAACGACTCCTACCTCCATTTCAACTAAGTCTAACTTGTCTCATTTGAAAGAGGGAAAAATAAAATGATGAAAACTCTAATTAGCAACAGGCATTACCTTCAGCTCAGCCCTTGGTTAATCCCCCCACCCCCTACTACTGGCAAAATTAAAATTTTGAAAAATTCCCCAAAGCACAGGGCACCACTTCAGCCCTGGGTTAATACATAACCTAGGTGCCGTTGTACAAAACAACCTTAGCGCTGCGACTGTCGTAGGTCTATGTTAAGGTATGGGATTTGCTTCCCTTGGGCACGCCAGAAACCTATGATTGTGGGTTCGAATCCCGGTTTGCCCCGATTATGTTTCTAGGTTTGTCAGCACCATACCCGTGCTCGTGGGTTTCACCGAAGTGGTAAACGTCTGAGACCTGCATCACTTCGGGCTTTCCTCCCACATAAGCTGACATGATATAACTGGAATACTGTAAAAAGCGGCCTTCACTACTCTGGTTGTATTGAGCTAAACTTATTAACTACGGTTTTCCATGCTCTGTTTTTCTAGTAATCTGTGGATAACCAGCATTCTAGTGATTGTCTAGTTTAGGTCAAATACGTATTTACTATTGTGAGTCGAGTTACACTTTTGGTCAAGTATCTTTTTAATGATTTTGAGTCTAGAGCAGTGTCAGAAACTCAGCAGAGTAAATAACCAAACTAAGAGACTTAAGGGTCTGCATCACTTCGCGCTTTCCTCCCACATTTAGCTGACACGCCGTGATATAACTGGAATACTGTTAAAAGCGGCGTTGAACCCAACTCACTCACTTTGTACAACGGCACCCAGGTTTGGGTGAAAAGTCCACTTCACCACCCCGACCACCATCTGCTGAACGTTTTTTCGAGTTTACGGACGAACGGAGTCTGACTAGGCTTCGACTATAGTAGCGTATTCGACTTAAAAAGCGCCCAGGGCGCTCTCAAAATTAGAAATAGGGGGCTCTTATTAGAATGTTATTTTGGTGAAAAACACAGTTGAAAGATAAACTTCGTGGTTTATGCTGACAGCCTGAAATTTTTATGTACGACAGATATATTTTTCCAGAATTAAATGCCCATAATTAAGGGTGCATATAACACACGAGTGTGTATTATACGCGAATAAAAAAGTCTTGTGTACATTGATCAATCGAAAGGGGTGCTAATTGGGATTGTTCACTAGCCAATAACTTAGCAAATGTCGCCGTGGGCGCTTATTACGTCGAATACGGTATATGCTGGGGGAAGAGAAGAGAGAAGGAAAATAGCTATGCATTGTATTCTATAAATAGAACTCACAGGTCAGGTCAGGTCAGACTCGCTGATGTGGTTGATGCATCATTTCAACAGCAGCATGTCATCGTATCCCAATTGCGTAGATCGATGATCATGATGTCAACCACTGGATTGTCATATAGCTGGAATATTGTTGCGTTAAATAACAAACAAACAAACAAACATCGAAATACTAACTTTCCTTCGAGACCGTGGATTTTTTGTCCGCCGCACATATTGCCATCAGCAAAACACAGAGAAGCACCAAAGACCTCATACTAGAATTAAAACAAATATTTAGTTATTAAGCAATGCGTGATACAGAATGGAAAGTGCTGTGCCTGCATCATATCTTTTATCCTTCATCTTGCGCAAAACAATATTGATGTTGACTTCCAGAAACAAAATGGCAGGTCAGCTACTAGGAGCTTACGTTGATGCAGGATCGATTTTAAAAAAACATATAATAGCCAGAATAGATATATTGTTTCTACAGAAGTTATAGGGGTGATGGGTTAGCCCAGTGGTTAAAGCGTTCGCTCGTCACGCCAAATACCCGGGTTCGATTCCCGACATAGGTACAATGTACCCGTGAAGATCCGGGGTAGAATAGATCTTCAGCAACCCATGCTTGCCGTAAAAGGTGACTATGCTTGGCGTAAAAGGCGAGTAACGGGATCGGGTGGTCAGGCTCGCTGACTTAGTTGATGCACGGTCATCGGTCCCAATTGCGTGGAGCGATGCTCATGATATCAGTAACTGGATTGTCTGGTCCAGACTCGATTATTTACAGACCGCCGTCATATAGCTGGAATATTGCTGAGTGCGGCGTTAAACCACAAACCAAACCAATCTGAAAATATAACTGTGGACCAGTGTTGATTGACAGTCCAGTGTAGATGGGATCTGGCAGAGGCCCTCCGCTTGAACCGATTTTAGAGATGGGATGGTTGTTTTCCTTTTATTAAGGTAACTTATACAGTTAGAAAATTTAAGCCAGAGAAGACACTGTAACTATTTTCATTTAAACGCCTTTGTATTGACCTCTGTGGTAGTGTTACTTATGATGACTGGTTAAAATAGGGAGGAAAGATCCTGTAAGTTTCAACAATGACCACGTGTCTTCATCTGTTGATTTTCTCCCCCTCGCACTTCTGGGATTGTTTTCAGTAAGGTCTCCTTTCTGAATATATCTTAATAAATTTACAAACGGTAAAACTGTTTATCCCAGTTATGTTACAAATTTCACAACCACTTTTGCCTTCAGATTTCAAATTTATGATAAGTTGTTTGTGGTAAGGGTCAGATCTTTGCCCCCATATTACTGAAGTAGACGTCATAACTAGAAAAAGAGTTATGTATGCATTCAGTTGGCATTGACAAACCCCCAGCTATACTATGGCGGCCATTTTGTGAACATTTTGTGTATGTATAATGATATGCCTACTTACGAAATACAAAGATTTTAAAAGATTTCTAAATAATTATGAAAATGTGTTTTAAAAATTCCTAACTGTAAATTATAACACTAACATGTTTATGTTATTCGGGCTAAATCATAAGAGGGAGGCACGTTCTGTCCTATATTTGTTTGCCTGCCATAGAGCGTTGGCGTTCCTCGCCTGCAGCCGTTAGGGGGCGAATGGTGGGGTACCAGTCAAGCTTTATCCCACCAATTTCCTCATACAGAAAACGTTGAAACGTTGACCTATTTTCGTGAAGCAGGTCTGTCCGTCGAGACGGTCGGGAACAAGCCTACAGCATATGCTATGCGGGAAATGACCCAGGTCATTTGGTGGTTCATGGTTAAAAAACCGCACTCACTTTTAACAATGGCTGCATGTCTCCACTGATCTGCTTTATTTTCCCCCGCCCAACATAGAAACGGGCTCCGTCCGTCCGTCCCGTTTCGTTTCCGGAGCATAACTCATAAACCGTTAAATATTTTTTCTTGAAACTTTGCAGGTTTGTCAGGTACATGCTGAACTGGTGCCTTTTGCTTTTTAGAAATTTTAGGAATTTTTATTTTTTACGTCTCCATGGCAACAAGATGGTCTTAGGTTCCAAATTCTGCAACATTTTCATGTAATTTAGGCTTGTTCCCCTGCGTTAACAATCAATGCAGCTTATACAGGGGAAGAAACTAACATTATTGGTCCACTTATAATTTATATAGCAAAACCCTTAAAAATGGCAAATATCTACTAATCCGTATGATACCTTAACTATTGGGCGTGGCAAGGACTGCAGGACTAGTGCCGTTACTGTGCCAATTTCTAACCCTGTTATACGGCGGCCATTTTAATATGGCACCTGAGTGTATGTGGGACTCGGTGGTTTTTTTAAAGCTTATGTACATATTTTAAACCATTTTTTCATCCTCATATAACTTTCTCAAACCGAAGACAAATACAGCACGGCGCCTGTCGCCATGCTATAAGGGGAAACAAGTAGGTATCGTAGGCAGTTAAACTGTTTGGCAGGGTATAGGTTTTAACAGGGAATTTATATGTCTTATATATTCCCTGAGTTAAATAAGTTAAATATATATAGATAAATATTCACATCGTTGCCCAAATCAAATTATAACAGCAGCTGGGCTACTATTACTATGGCCAACAGCACAGAGTCATGTGCAGGTCAGTGGCTCCTAATTAGTGCCAGAGAATGGCCGGTTGACCACTGAAGCTTGACATTGTGGATGAGGTGCGGGATACTGCAGGCTGACCAGAGAGGTATCGTATTCGATACGTGGCAGCTGGTCAGTGATTTAACGAGATAAAATTAGAATACGTTCTGTTAGTGGGTCTTGACCTTCGGACAGCGGCTAGGCAGTTTGGCTCTCTGACGCCTCTGATATGCTGCCTGGTCATGTCTGTTTCTCACATTTACACATTCACAATTCACATTTACTTTGTTGCTGCATTGACATAACAAATATATTCATTCAATTAAGCACTGTATGTATGCCGTTGTTACCAGTATAATTGTCAATAAATAATTTTCAGAAATGTATATGTCTCATTAATTGATTAAATATCCCGAAAGGTGACAAACATAATCAGTCACAAAACATGAACAACACTGTGGAAGACCCCAGACGGTTGTCAGCGTGAATCAACTGTTTTTGTGTCTTCTGAGGACGGGTTTTTTTTCTGAAGGAAAGTACCGCTAAGCGATCTTTCGGTCACCATTTATGTAAAGTTTAGGCAAAGACGTTGCGGACAATGTTCGCAGAGATTTTATGTTTAAGATGCAGTGAAAGGTGCCAATGATTCATACAGACTGTGTTACTTATGTCAGTAGGTGTGCTGTAGCCAACTTTATAACCAATGTGGTGAAGATAGAGGTGGTAAGATGCTAAATCCGCACGACACACGTGTCTTGACATCGTTTTATTCTGTGTTTGTTTGTTGCACTCAAAAATATTCCAGCTATATGACGGCGGTCTGTAAAATAATCGAGTCTGGACCAGACAATCCAGTGATTGATATCATGAGCATCGTTCTACGATCGTTTTGATTGGCACTAAAAATATTCCAGCTATATGACGGCGGTCTGTAAAATAATCGAGTCTGGACCAGCCAATCCAGTGATTGACATCATGAGCATCGTTCCACGATCGTTTTGATTGGATAACCGTGACCTCTGTCACACCGGGACTACGTTTTTTCATTCATAAAAAATCGCGAGACGTCATTCATTTTGCAACTACAAAGCAGAACAGAAGCAATCTCAAGAGAGCGAAAGATATTTACAAACGCTTTATTAAACCAAACATGAAAGTCACACGCATCAAATTCGGTTTGCGTTCTACATAAGTTATGCATAGAGCTTCTATAGACATTATATAATCGAGCTATAATGCATATCCATTTACAATTTACGACTACCGATCACTGTCGCAACTATCAATTTGATTGAACGTAAAAGGATAAGCGTGGTGAAATATGAAGTCAGTTTAAACTGTCTGGACAGATGTCTTGGCTTACTTGGTTGTAAGGTTGTGTCTCCTCGGCTGTGCCATCAGCGTATTTTGTGGCACTGTTTCGGGAGTTGTTTGTTCACGACTGCACGACCAGATCACCCAAAGTGAACAATTGCGATATAAATCATTCGAAAACTCCGTAGAAGTGTGCCTGGCTTCTGATTATGTGGTACAAAATAGTCCAAATGTGAACAATAACATTCCCTATCTCTAGAGTATAACGTTACGAGAAGATCACGGTTGTCCTTTCTTATTCCGGTGGTGACCTTGCCTTTCTTTCGAAGCAGTGGTGACTCTGCAAAACTCCACTGCCCACAAGCTAATTTGCATATCACGTGTTCTCTTGTTTGTAAGCAAATCCGCTTTTTCAGAAATCAGTAAAGAACGGACTAATGCAAGTATTTGGGGGCGCTTGACATATTGTTTTGCATAATTATATGGATATCCCACTGCAACTGCGACAGTGAGTTGCATGACAATATAAATTTATACATCAAAGTGACCGTATCACCAGCTCTCCGTGGGGCTTCGATGACAGTAGATTTTCACGTATTTGGATACTTTTTTAATGAATCGTAAGCGCTCTTTGACATTTGTGTGTGAAAATGTGTAAACTTGTCAAACATGAAACGGATCAAAAACATATGCAATAACCTGAAATGGACTGTGAAAGATGTGACGAATCGTCACATGGCGCTGGCCTGTGGATGAGATGATGCTGGCTGACGACCGCAATGAACTCTGGGTAGGAGCGTGCGCGATAATTCGGCTTCCCTTTGTATCGTAAAACTCTCGGCCCCAACAAGGGCGGAGTTTTAGACCATACTTTTCACGTCTAGTTCATTTTTGGGGTCGCTTTCGCTAAAAAAAATGCCCTCTAAAGAATTTCGGCGCGCTTATATATAAGCAAAGCTTTTACGGAAACCTCCGAAGTGGGGACCCAAATACTGCAGTTGACCCTAAACAGTTTTCATAAGCTTATGAATACATAGTTGCATAGGATTTTATCCTTTTCCAACCTTTTCCTAATATTATTTGAGGTTTTTGAATATTGGATCTAAAGTTGATCAGTCGGTGCAATATGCGTAAACTGAAAAATGGCGTCACATTTGAGGATAGAGTCTAACCCATGTGCATTATTTATTGACAGTATGATGTATCATGGATTCAGGAAATGTAGAACAAGGGTTTTAATTCACACAGTGTAGCCTATACATGGCATACATGCCGGAAGATATATTGCAAATCAATTCTACTTACTCCCTAACTGAAGAGTACATTTTATAACAT